CTGCTATTAAAGTTTTGATGTTTTTCTTTCTTTTCAAATGTGTGTTTTGAGCACCTGCTTCTTCCTATTCTAGACTAAGGGTATATATATATATATACATATATATATGTATATATATATATGTGTGTGTATAATGTGATCATTATGTATATAAATAATCATGATGTATAAAAGGTGGGGCTTACATTCTGACAAATAATAATAGCTAGTATTTCTTTATTGAGATACAAATGACATAAAACATATTAGTTTTAGGTGTACAAATGATTTAATATATGTATATATTACAAAACGATTACTATAATAAGTTTACTTAACATCCGTCACCACATATAGTCACAATTTTTTTCTGGTGATAACTTTTAAGATTTACTCTATTTGCAACTTGCAGATATATGATACGGTATACTAACCGTAGTCACCATGTTATATGTCACATCTGTTCTCTGTTACATCCGCATTACAGTTATTAGAATTATTATTTATTGAACATATGTCCCATGCACTGCTGTAGGTGTTTCACTTTTGTTTTTTTTAAAGATTTGTTTATTTGAGAGAGAGGGAAAGAGTGTGCATGTGTTGGGGATGGGCAGAGGGGGAGGGAGAGGTAGACAGGTCTCAGGCAGATCCATAGTGAGCACAGAGCCTGACACAGGCTCTCAGGACCCTGAGATCATGACCTGATCCAAAACCCAGAATCAGATGCTCAAGCAGCTGAGCCACCCAGGGGCCCCCAGCCCCCAGGTGCTTCACTTTTATCAGTTACTTAATTCTTACAACCTTTGAGTTAAGTATGATTGTCCTCTCTTCCAGCTGAGAATTTAACATAACAAAGAGGTTAAACAGAAAGCGTTGTCCCATGCTGTGATTCAGGGAAGACCATCCCTGTACCCACTGCCATATGTTAATAAGTTAAAAGCCAAATTTGAAAGTTAGAAAACTGATGGACTTAAGGTGTGGTGATAAGACTGATCTTTCCCGAGCAGAATTCTGGCAGCATCGTTATCTGTGGACCTGGGATGCTTTGTACTTGGCGCTGGTTTTCTCGGATGGCCAGTCCTCCACTCTCGTTCTCATAATTAGTCATCTGTCTAGATCTGGCCTGCCATGGCATATCCTTGCCTTCCCTTTGGAAATTCCCTCGCTTTCCCTCTCTCCCATTCTGCTAATCTATTCTCAATGATGTGATGATTAAAAAGAAAAAAGAAAAACTCTGATTTGTAGCATTTGCCGATTTCAGTGGTGTAAATACTGCTATTGATTTCAGGCTGAATGCAGGGCTGGTCAGGGGTGTGTGCTGGGGAAAATGTGCACACCATCGCTGTAATTTCAGTCAGAGAAAATAGATGTAAACCTCAAGATTATAGGTACCAGGAAAGTGTGATAAAATAATTAAAAAGTGATGAGTTTTAAATATTTATTAATTATTAATTATTAATTAATTAATTATTAATCTGTTTTTTTATATAATTTAATTCTGCGCTTAGTTAATTTTTTAATAATGGCTGTGTTCAACAAGTGGCTTTCAGAATTCCTAAAAATATAGCGATGGGCTCTCACGAGCCTGTACAAGCCATCTCCAGCTTACCACGGCAGTTACCTTGCTGCTGATGGGGTCCACCGCCAGAAACCTTATGGCTGACACTGTCTTGCCGTCTAAGACATCAGTGCTGGCCCTTCTTTGACCACTCCTCCCACAGAACTTCCTTACTGTCTCATTCCCCTCAACTTCAGCTAACATATTCCCTGTTTCCAAGGCCTTGTTCCTTTCGCACACTATAATTCACTTTCTCCCTTCGCTCTGATGCTTTTCCCTTGCCCATTCCTTTTTTCCCTGATCAAGATACTGTCCCTGGTTTAAGGAAGACCTCAGGCATAACTCATATCTTGGGGCATGGAGAGTCTGTCGGCAAGATGTTGGGTCTCACGTGGAGAGAAAATCCTTGTTCTACAAAAGGAAGATCTATTCTTTGAATTCCAGGTTAGAAACCTGAGTGGGGAAAAAATTTTGTTTTTGTCATTAATAAATATGTGAAAGTGATTATAGCACCATTAATATATATATCTACTATATACATGAGTTAAAGATGGGGAGAATTGGGACCACAGCTGCCATTTAAAATTTTGTTTTTCTGATGGGCATTAAGGAGAGCATGTGATGTGATGTGATGAGCACTGGGTGTTATATGCAACTAGTGAACATTACATTGAACATTACATCAAAAACTAATGAGGATGTACTATAGATTGGCTAATTGAATTTAAATAAAAATAAAATTTAAAGAACAAATAAAATTCTGGTTTTTGGGGGGGCAAGTAAGTTACTTATTGTGGCGTTTAGGGCTACAGTGCATTCATATCTTGGGGAACACCTATATCTACAAAATAGGGCCATTATAAATTGTCATCTGTCAGCAAAAATAATCCGGTCTCTGACCATCCTGTGAGGTTCAAGGATATGTTTCTTCAGTTTACTGGAGAAGTGGAGATACAGATGCCTCTCTTCCTGGGGCTTTAATCAAGAATGTCCGGAAAATTGCCCTTGTTAATAAGTTCATCTGTTGTCTTTTTAGATGTGTGACAGACTTCTTAACTGGGCAGCCAGATTGACCTTTGTGTTCATTCCATGGGGTGTGTCCTTCCCATGAGCAGGGAAATCACGTACCAGAATATTCCTCAGGGAAGGTGTGGTTCCAGCAATCACCTCAACAAAAATTCTTGCGTAGATCTGTTTTTCAGTCACCCCTGCTCTAGCTTAATCTTGTGAGTCTGTCTGCAGGGCCTCTCGGTGCCCCATACTGGTGTGGGGACACAGGAGTCTTGTAGATGACGTGCGGTGAGAGTGTGGATCGTTTGCTCCCAGGGACTTGAGAGTGCAGAGGGCACTCCTTCAGGGAAAACAGGTACTTTCGTGCCAGGTGCCTCCCACTGAGACCGTGGCTCATTGTAGTGTGAAAGGAGCCACCGACCGCGTGTAAACAAGTGAGCCTGGCTGGTTCCAAGAAGACTTTATGTATAGACACTGAAATTCAAATGTCATGTCATTTTCACAGGTTAAAAGATATTTTTTTCTGATTTTTTTTTTCCCAACTACTTTAGAAGTGTAAAAACCTTTTTTAGCTTTGAACCGTACGAAAACAGGCCGAGAGCTGGATTGCCCCCATGGGTCAGTTTGCCAACCTGTGCTCTGAAGGATGAAACTTTAGAGCTTTCTTTCACACACTTTTTCCCCTCCTCAGGTTATAATGGTATTTCAATACCTTGAGAAATTTATTCTTCTCATGTGCTGCAGACATTTTAGCTGGTTGTGGTTTATCATGACAAAGGGTATTAAATATTTTGCCAGCCTAAGCTTTTCAAAATGTTTCCAAGGTAGGGACTTACACATGAGTCTCAGTTATAATTCTCAAGAGTGACTGCAACCCGTGATAATTCTGTTTTACCAACTGAGCTGTTCCTTGTGGTAGGATGCTTTGAACTTTCCAGTTCAGCATTTGTAGGACGTCACAGCTTATTTGTAGCTCATTCTGAATTCTTACTGTTGCATTGAACAGATGTGGTCCCTTACCATGTACAGGGCACTGCACAAAGCACTGGGGATCAATGAAGAGATGGGCATTTGGGACTTTGGGAAATACTTTGAACTCTGTTTCCAGAATCAACGTTTTGGAGCATTGCTTAAGTTTGATGTTGTGATTTTTGGTTTTCGGTGTTGAATAAAAATATTACCTGCTGTTCTGTAATGCTGCTGGGCCTAATAAATTTTGGCCACAGGGTGGCATGGTTCTCTCAAAGGCTTCATTGTTGCCAAATGGAAAAGGGGGGGAAAAAAAAAAACAAAAACAAAACTCTAAGGAAGGAGCATTCTTGCTCCTATTTAATGCTGAAGTAGCCTGGCTTTTTCTAAATTGGTTTTTCCATAGTGCATTATTCTCTTTTTCCTTTTTTAAAAAAAAAAAAAACAACAGTACATTATTAAGATTTAGATATTACTGAACCTAGTGCTTTAAAATCTTTTGTTTATGGTGCCAACCTGAATTGTCTAATGTTTATGATTGAGAGTAATAGTTAGGACTGTATTTTGTAGGATATATTTAATTTAGACACTAACCTCAAAAAAAAAAAAGAACGTGTAAAAACTAGAAAGAATATTTGCGAATTAACAACAGATATCCTCTCAGCAGTTGCAGAGTCATGGACAAAGGTACTGATACAAGGTTTTTGTCTAATTCCAAGGATTTGATGGAGAGGTAGCTAAAGAAGAGTAGGGATTCCAGATGGTCAGGAAACACATCACCGGAAGTGATTGTCCTGTCCTTGTAGAGTAAGAATATTATCATAGACTGAGAGCTGATTGTATTCCAAGAGTGTTCATGTATTAGCTGCGGGAAGAGGAGGTATTGTCTCCATTAATATAGTCAGGGACAGTGGGGTTTAGAGGATTTAAGTGAAGTCTTTGTAGGTTTGACTGGAGCCCAAGTGTATGCTCTTTGCACCCTGCCACTTCCGGGCTAGCTCATCGGAGACTCTCCTCGTTGGAGAATGGGGCGATTTGGCAATGATTTCTAGGATGTAGGACTGAGAGTTATTACTACCACTGGAACACGGCTCAAGGGCGCGTTCAGGCTGTAAGGATGTAACTAACTGTTTAATATGCCTCCAACGTCCTCTTGGCCTTATTTTTGGATTCTTTTGAATTTCTTTTTTACCTGTTCATCAAGTAAATACCCAAACCAACTCTTACCTTCTTAGTTTACTCATTTGTCCAGCCACCTCCACTAAAACCCTCAGCTTTAAGGAGGACAGAGATCTTATTTTCAGATCATTTTGTATTCTCAGTGCCTACAGTACTTCCTGGCATGTAAGTGCTCAGGGTTTATATTTGTATAACCTACTCGAATGGGACCCAGTTTGGATGAGACATTTGATTTTCCCTTGAATTTGATGTTTTGTGAAGACGGACTCCCGAGGGGAACCTGACTCTCTCTTTCCTTTCCTAGGGCGATTGTGTGGTTACCGTGTTGCTGGCTGAAGAGGACAAAGTTGAGGATGATGTAGTTTTTTACTTGGTATTTTCGGGTTCCACCCTCCATCACTGCACAAGTACTCGGAAGGTCAGTGCCGATACGCTGGAGACCATTGCTCCTGGTAAGTGTTGGGCAGTCTTCACTGGCCTTTCCTGGCTCATGCACACTTCTATTCTGTGTCCGTTAATGTGGAGTGAGAAGAATGAATCAGGGCGATAGAATTCCTGTCAAATCTTTATGTTAATAATGCATTATAATAAAGCATTCTCTTTATATTTGCTTGTTCCACAAAAATCTGAGCCTCACTAGAAAATAGCGAAATAAAATGGTGTCGTAAGTTTAAAAGTAAAAAATCAGGATCAGCAAAAATATTAATTTATGAGAACGTTGAGATTTGGGGAGAACTAAAACAGGTGCTTGAAGATACATGTTCTACTGTGGTTCCCATGGTGTGACTGCAGATTTGAATTCTGAATATCATAGTGGCAAAAGTAAAGGTAAAACACAGTTAATGAGTACTTAATCACTGTTGTAATTATGGGCTTAACAATTAAAAGGGGAAGATAGGTAGTTATTAAAAATGCTTTACAGAAGTCAGGAAATCATTGCTACTTCCACGAGAAACGGCTCATAAGATAATGGCTGTCCCTTGACCTGTCTGTCGCAGCACCTGAAGGTGTATTGATCTGTGTTTGGAAGTGAGCTGCTTTCCTTCATTGACCTGGCTTCGAAGTTAACAGTTGACCAGTTTTCATCAGGATACAAAGTAGGGCGCACTTGGGGGGAGCGCCTAAAAAGTGCTGAGTTAACTGTTTTCCTTTAGAGAATGCAGTGGATTTACTTCTTACTAAACCATTTCCTTTTACCAGTGTTTTTACAGAGCACTGATTCCACTATGTTGAAATAGACCGTGTGAAAAATTATTAGTTTATGAAGCACTTTTAATATCTAGTCTTGCTGGTATTGGTTCAGATTGCTGTGCCATTTGATATAAATGAACTTCATGTCAGATACCCACCAGCTCCTGGAAATTTTTCTGCAGTCAAAGACTGGGATTTAACAATTAGTTGAAAGCTGTATTTATCCTCCTGCTTGGCAAAAATGACATTGAAAAATACAGGATTTACAGATTTTTGACAATTCCTGTGAACATCTTCCTCCCACCCTTTCTCCCCCACCCCCGCAACAAAGTTTTAGGGATTGGAAATTCACCTGGAGTTTAGGATAGATACTGATTTCTTTCTAAAGCGTATTAAGTATCCTCCTTTGTAACTTAAAACTCCAATCATCTCATTTCCTGTGATGTTTATCATGTTAGAAAGGCTTATCTGGAACTTGAGGCCTGCCCTGGAGCAGGTGCCATCCAGTATCACCCTTGCAAAACCTCTGTCCTGTGTGGGTGATGGTGAGAGACAGCTCCGCAGGGGGTCAAGTCAGCCGTGCCTGACTAGACTCTTACCGGGAAAGGAATGGTGGTAATTTTTATAAACTTACTCCTTCCTGAGTTAGAAACAGGTCAGGAGTTAAAGTTAGGGGGTGGTACGTGAGGGTGTGTTCATGACTGTGTGTGCGCATGTGTAAGAAAGCACGGAGGTGGATGTGGAGGGCGCACGGAGTGCTGAGGGAGAGGACAGCTGTGGCAAGGGTGTTGCCCTGTGCCCTGGTTGCAGTCCTCAGTCACGAGGACATCTGCCCGGCAGCTCTGGTCCCTTCGCTGGCGAGGCCTTGCGATGAGGATGGGTGGCAGGCAGTTCCTTTCCTTGGCTTCACAAGCCCGCTGTACCTGTGTGACAGCCTGGGGCTCTGAGTTTGTTCCAGACCCTCTCTGAGCTCCAGCCTCCCTTTCCAAACTCTAGTTCCCATCTCTTCCCTTGCCTTTAGTTCCAAACCTTTCTGTGGGTCTCTGCACCCCTCCTTCCCAGTCACACCCATCTCCGGGTGTCCTTCTGTACTTACTCCGAGGACCCTTACCCTGCTGACCCCAGCGAACCAGAATGGATATGGTACTGTGCTGCTTTCTTCTAACTTGGAAGTTAGCAGAAGAATCCCTGACCCACTTGCGTGGGGCCTGGAGTCCTAGTACCTGCCTTCTCCATTTTCCGCTAATCAACTACCCCCCTTTAAATTATGATCTCTTGCACCTCCCATGTCCCCTGTCATGCTTACAGGGCCCAACAACCTGTCCCCTTCTCACCCCACTTAGCCTGCATAGACTGCTCCTCTTTCGTGTTCATTTGGGCTGATGGTAGGAGGTGCTCGATCACAGCAGAAGTGACAGAGGCTTGGAGTCCCTGCACGACCCTCCTGTACAAGCAGGCCAGACAGAATGTAGCGCCAAACTGTCACATGTGGACCTTTGATATGGATGCAGGGCAGTGGCAAGGTCCTCGCTGGTGAGGTAGGAGCTCTGTGAACTGTTCAAGCGGAAGGGATCCTGAGTACTCCCTGTTGCTCTGGTCACTGTGTGTGAGATCTTTCCACTCACGTGTCTTGTTAAGCTGCCGCATCTGCCGTAGTCATGAGTGGAGGTGTAGGGATAGGGGCGTTGAGGACATTGAGTTGATTTTGAATTTCTTGTTGATATCATAGAGTTAAATATTTTAGTCTAGAATTAAACTGCCTTAATCTGTTTTTAGGGACGTCTTAGACTTGTTGCTTCCCTTCCTTCCACTCTTCACTGAGCTGTCTCCTTCTCATGCCTTCCCGGTCCACCTTGTAAAAATACACAACAGCCTTCAAAGGGTGCCTGGGCGGCTCATTTGGTTAAGCATTGCCTCTTGATCTCAGGGTCATGAGTTCAAGCCCCGCATTGGTCTCCATGTTGGGTGTGGAGCCTACTTTAAAAAAAAAAAATACACAGTGGCCTCCTGTCTGTATTCCTTCTTGCCCTTCTCTGATTTATTTTTCTGCACTGCACTTAAAAACTTCTAACACATTATATCTTCTATTGATCTTATTTGTTTTCTACGTGCCTCTACTAAAGTCAGCTTCATGAGGGCATAGACTTCTGTTTTGTTGGTGTGTGCTAAGAAGTCTGTCCTAGGAATCCCTACCAGTTGATGGAAGAGCGTTTCTACTTTATCTGAATTCACCCCGGTTCTTGGAAGCCGTTCTTCTTGAAAGGCTGTGCACACATGGGTGTGTGCCTATACACACACATGCCCTTTCTTTTGAGAAAAATGCAAAAGGAGTTTGCTCTGGCTTCTTGAGTTGAATTCTTCCTTGGGGGTGGGAGCCTGTGTTCTCTTTCCAGAGCTACCTATGATGATTTGCGTCAGTTAGCTGCATTGATAACCTTGGATTTCCTGTCTGCTGTGGGCAGTGTCAGATTAGTCAAGATTCTTGATTGAAAGTCTGTGCTTGCTTGGTGCATCCCAGTCCCGGATAAGTCTGTTTGCAGCAGCTGCTGCTGGGAGCAATGTCAGTGCACCCTTTCTGCTCACGTGTGGGATGAGCTCTGCCAGTCCTAGTCATTTGGGTTGACTCTGGAAAGAAAAAGAGCTTTGTGTCTTGTTCTTGGTTTTAATGTCATGTTTCATCCACATTGCTGGCTCTGATTTTTCTTTGAGTTCTCTGCATGTTTCACTGTCAGTGTTTTGTAACATTTTAGTTTTTACTAAAACCAGATGATTGATTGACCTTCAAAATGCAACTACTTCTTGATGTTAGTCTGTAACCTTTTATTATTAGGGGGTGGAAGAGAGAAAGGAACATTTCTAAATTGTGTCCTTTAAATGTTTTAACTTCGGATATGAAGATTATTTTTTTCTATTTTCTCCCTTTCTTGCTTAATGAGATGTTTTTAATGAATTGTGTGTGTCTAATTATAAATTGTAAAGGCTTTTTTTATAAATAATCTTCTTGCCTTACCACCATCAAAAAGCTGTAGACATGATATCATACCCCCTTTTTAATAAAGTAAGGCCAATAAAAGCATCTTAGGGGGCAGTTAGGTGGAGACTTTGGTTTCTACTTTATTTGCTTTTGAATTGTTTGGGTGCTTTACAAAGTAATTTTTAATAAAAAACATTTTGAAGACGAAAACAATGTCCTCTCTTCTGAAAATAAAGCTGTCGGGTTCTGATTAACACGAGACACAGACAGACGAGCTATGTAATAAAATGTTACGTTCAAGACACCGATGCATTTTCTGGTTAAGAATATAATTTGCGGGGCGCCTGGGTGGCTCAGTGGGTTAAAGCCCCTGCCTTCGGCTCAGGTCATGATCCCAGGGTCCTGGGATCGAGCCCCGCGTCGGGCTCTCTGCTTGGCAGGGAGCCTGCTTCCCTTCCTCTCTCTCTCTGCCTGCCTCTCTGCCTACTTGTGATCTCTGTCTGTCAAATAAATAAATAAAATCTTAAAAAAAAAAAAGAATATAATTTGCTCTGAAATACTGCCTAAAGTGCATATCCATCTCCAAAGACGAAAGGTATGGCCTTTGTAGTAGAGGAAAATACCTCCATTCTTTTCTCTTTGTATGAAACGAATCTGACTACAAATCTCATCTTAACTAAACAGTGAGTTTCCTTTAGAGATAAAGCTGAGGTTTTTCTTTAAAAGACTTGTGGGGGACTGGTAAGTAATGTAAAGAAGTCTGAGTATCCTTGGAAGATAATTCTTGAGGGATATGGAGTACTGCCTTATTATGTTCATTTTTATTAGCTAAATGTGAATTTAGACCCAGCAAACAATGATTTCAGAATGGAAATGAGACAGGATGTTCAGTGGACGCCACACACTATTTTTATGCAAGGCTTTAGTGCAGGTTCTCTCTTTTCCCAGCATGTGTTACTTAAGAATTTACAGCACAGGTTCTTGTTGGACAGGAAAACTACAAACATACATTGACCTAAAATTTGACCCAGCTCTTGTGTTTTTCTTTCTCACTCATCAGAGGGAAGGTACTATATATAGTAGATTTGTCATTTAAAAAAGAAAAAAAACTTAATTGCTGTGATCAGAATTCCTTTCGGGATTATTAAAAATCAGTGCTCACAGCCCAGGTCCCAGTAAGTAGCTCTACAGGTAGATCACGATGTATCACTCACTTCTTGTGAACCCAGACCTCTCTCTAGTAGCTGATGTCCAAGGTTGCCAGATTGAATTACACATTCGAAAAGA